AGTTATATGATTGGCTCAGTTATAATTTGATTGGCAGAGACGTCACTACATTTCATTCATTTACAAATCTACAACCAGCTACACGATTACTTTGCCCACGTCCATTACCATAGTTTAACGTACGTAATGACAAGGTCATTCGAACTGTGACAGCTTGAAACCACACATCCTAAGAGTCAACTGTTACGATAGACATTCCTTCAAAATCAGGACAGACGAAGGAGTGTCTTTGAGACACGTTTATTCGTGAAGACAACATCATGACAACTCTAGTCGTCTCCCTTTGTGCATACCACTACATCTCCCCTTCCAGGAGAAAGCAAGTGAACACTACTGTCAACTTGCAACTTCGCCTGAACAATGAAACATTATAATGCATATAAACAAAACAAATCAAGATTCACTCACACAACATTGTGAACACAAAATTAGCATGACCTTAGGGTTACAGAATAATAAAACTCTCAACAATACACAATGAATATTGACACACTTATCAAACTTTTAATGATAGAAAGTCTTAGTATCTATCTGGCTTTCTTGAGACTATGCAAGATCGTGTTATATGAACTGAGGAGTCATTTGTTTGTTTCAGACATGGTTGCGGATTTAGTTCAGGTGAGTCTTCTTTTTCAGGCACATTAGGAATTTGCTTTTCAGGAACATTTGGTAACAAGTTTATGTCACATCTATTCCGCAAGTAGGTTCCGGAGTGTGAGTCTTTACGAGGTAAGACCGAGGACTTAGCTGTTTGAGCACAGAACCTGTTTCTTTCATGTCTGGTACCCATGCATTATTTCCCTTTTGTAAAACAGGAAGTGAGCGCACAGCATGGCGATGATTGAAGTTATATTCCTGCTTTTGCTGTTGATGTTTCTCAAAGTTCACAAACTTTGGTTTTACAGGTGGGTGAACTTCAAGTTTCGTTTTCAGGATTGACAGTTTTGTACGCAGTTTCCTTGACATCAGCAGTTCAGCTTGGCTGTAACCACAACTGAGTGGGGTTGATCGGTGGCTGAGAAGAGCTGAATATGGATCTTCTGCTGAATGCAACAGAGACTTTATAGTGTGCACAGCGCGTTCAGCTTCTCCATTCCCAGATGCATGTCCAGGAGTGCTGGTAACATGAGAGAAACCATAGTCTTGACTGAAGTCGTCAAACTCTGACGCACTGTACTGAGGACCGTTGTCAGAAACTAGAGTCTCTGGCACACCATGTCTTGCAAAGATACTTTTGAGCGAGTTGATCACTTATTTTGAAGATGTACTTGAAAGTCGGACAATTTCTATGAAACGGGAGTAATAGCCCATCAACATACTAGTTCTTTTTAAACTCAATGAGATCGGAGGCAACGTTTTGCCAAGGTCTTTCGGGAGTTTCAGAAGTTATAAATGGTTCAGGGTGGTTGTCCATTTTCTTACAGCACACATGACACTTAGACACAAATTGCTTAAATGTGGCCACCAAACACATTGCTTTGCACGTTCACGAGTCTTTATAATGCCTTGATGTCCATCATGAAGCTTTTCAAGGATGGTTGGCCTTAGTGTTTCAGGAATCACAAGCCTTTCACCACAGAGCAATAGATCGTCTTGAATGGTAAATTCAGCATGATAGGGCCAATAGTGTTTGGCAATGCCTCTGATCATGTGTTTTTCAGGCCATCCTTCAAGGCAATATCGAGTGATCTCCCTGCAGATGTCATCCTCTTCCTGGTGAAGTCTGGTTTCTTCAAGTCTCCGATCTGAAGCTGGAAACGAGTGGAGAATGTGTTCAACCTAGACTTGTCCGACTGCTTCGAGAGTTTTGTCTGAACTAGATTGAGATGCTACTGTAGCTCGAGATAGAGCATCAGCTGTATAGATATCACGACCAGGCACATGTTCATCCTGAATCGTTAGATCCTTGGAGGGAGTTGATCAAGATCCTTCAGACCTAGCAGGGGGACAAGAGGTTTGTGATCTGTTTCGAGAAGAAAGTCTATACCATCAAGATAGTCCTGAAATCTTTCACACGCCGAAGTCAGCGCCAACGCTTCTTTTTCTATCTGCGCATAGCATGATTCAGTTTCAGAGATGGACCTTGAGGCATATATGACTGGGCTCCAGCAACTTGTGGGGTTCTGAGTGAGGACTGCACCAAGACCAAACGAAGATGCATCAGCTGTAACCTTGGTTGGTAAGTTCGGATTGAAGAGTGCTAGCACTGGACTGCTACTGAGGGCTTGCTTGATCCAAGAGAATGATTCCAGTTGAGGCTTATCCCATGTCCAGACAGATTTCCTGTTGAGAAGATCTCTGAGTGGCTTTGTCATATCAGCAAGATTGACGACAAACTTTCCAAGTTGATTGACCATTCCAAGAAAGCGTCTGACATCGCCTATATTCTTAGGTTCTGGCATGTCTTTGATTACTGAGACTTTGTTCTCACTGATTCCCTTGGCACTCACAGTTTGTCCCAGAAACTGGATCCGTGACTTTCCAAATTCACACTTATCCTCATTGAGTGTGAAGCCAGCTTCACGAAAAGCTGTCAGAGTGTTCTTTATCATGCTCTTCTCCAGAAGCACCATATATACGGAACCGTAAAACAAACGTCACCCCAAGTAACATTATATAAATAGTTGTCATTTAAATAACTGGGTAATTTTTGTCAAAGTTTTCAAAATTTAACATTACCTAGTCCGTAAAAATGAAATTTGATGATAAAAAACCCAAAGCAGATGACAATAAAACCGATCTCCCGAACGCATCACGGCAACGGCCATGGTAACCCGATGCGCAAGAGTTCCGTTCAAATTGAAATGCACATGCGTTCCCCCATTTCTCGCCCTATAAAAAAAACACCCAGATCGGATAACATTCATTCGTTATTGAATTGCTACCACATGCCAAGATTGACAGGAAATTAGCGACACCAAGCCCGAGGACGATTGCAGGCTGGACAATGAAGCCAATGCATTTCAAGTCCATGTAAGAACCATATACAGGCTCCAGCAACGGTACCAGACCACCAACACTACATATGATCGACAACGTAGTGGAAGACCAAGGGTCACCACCCGACTTCAGGATCGTCAGATTGTACGACAGCATCTTCAAGATCACTTTGTAATTGCTGTGGAAATTGCTCGACAGACCATGGGACACACCAGCGACACATTAGTGCGGACACCATGCGTCGGCGATTGACGAGCAGACACCACCACTGTCACAGGCCACAACGAGGACCCATTCTGACACCACGTCATCTCCGGGACCGTCTTCATTAGGCAACACAGCACCAGCATTGGCGCCGCCAGCAGTGGAGAAAAGTCCTCTGCTCAGACGAGAACCGCTACTGTATCTCAACAGCAGATGGCAGAGAGAGAGAGAGAAAGTCTGGAGACGCCGTGGGGAACGTTATTCGGATGGTTGTGTTGTTGAGAGAGCCTCGTGGGGTGGTCCGAGCATCATGGTGTGGGGTGGAATTGGTCTTGCACAGAGGGTCTTCCAGAACATCAGTCCAGGGAGAGGCAATGGTGTCACTGCAGCTCGGTACATTGATCAAGTCTTGAGACCACACGCCATACCTCATTTGGCACATCGCCGTAGCGATTCTGGAGTGGAAGTTAATCCGAATAGGAGCCTTTTATAGCAATATCTCCCAAAAGGAGTCATGAAGGTCGTCAACACTGCAGATCGCTCAGTCAGCCTCGGTTGATGAAATCCTGAGCGTCTATCCTCGAAAAGATCTTAGCACCAGCTAACTGACCTAGAGTATGATCAACTGTTGGAAGCATGTGACGTTCCCGCTGCACAGACTGATTCAAACGACGTAAGTGTACACATATCCTGACATCCCCTCGCGACTTAGGCACTGCTACCATAGGAGCACACCAGTCTGTAGGCACATTGAATTTGGTAATGACGCCCAGTTCTTCCAATTTCTGCAGATGTTTCTTGACCTTAGGAAGAACTGGAATTCACTTGCATTGCAGCTGAGAAGTGAGTGTGTCTCTCCAGAGAAAACAAACACCTTGTCCCCTAAGGTCTTGTCTCTTCACTCGAACTTGACACTGAAGTAACCAAGTACGTCAAGTTCATTCTGGATTCCATGAAGGATCCTCTTGGTCTGCATTAGAGGTTTGTCGGGGAATTACTTGTTATATAGTTGTTCAGATACAACGTTCACGTCAGAACCTGTATCCACTTTGACTGTGACCTTTGGTTTGTCCATGAGTATATCGGCAAAGTGGTTTTCTCTTCGGTTTGAACTGATACCATCAGCCGAACCCAAAAACAGTGATTCTGTACATTCATATTCATCACTAGAGCAGGTGACGTCATCATCTACAGTTCTCGTGTAACTGTGAATTCATAAAAAAAACCAGTTGAATTATGAGAGATAAATAATCACACAATTCGTACAGATATCCTTTTAAGATGTTTTCTACGATTAAGATACTGGTATCATTGATTAAAAAACAAAGTTTGTGGATATCAGGTTCATCTAAAACATTCTGACACTTGACAATACACTCATTAAAAAGAGTTGCCAGATATCGTCATACTATACGCAGAGGTGACAAAACATGAACCACGTCGACCCCTATCATTACAGTGAAAGCATATTCTATTGTAGACAGGAATACCTTCATACCGACCGGTTTCCACTCCAGTACGATTCACGCCAGGCCTAATCTTGGCTAGTGCCGATAAGTAGTTTAATTATTTTGAAGTATTTGAAAGCCGTACCCTTTGATCTGCTGGCAAAAGGGTAGCCATGATTAAACCTAGCTTGTCGCCTTGTCTCATTTTGCGTTGAGCAGTGGAACTCAAACGTCAGTAAGTTGGATTCCACCGCGGATGACCCAGTTCAACAAGTTAACTGCAATGTCTGTGTTGTCTTTCAAGCGCTAGATTACATGTACTAACACTATGCTCAAAGCATTGTCAAATTGCTGTCCTAAATTAGAAGACATCAGCATAGAACTCCTCAAAGTGTACAACCCCCTTTGTGACTAACAATGGTGGACGTGGAAGCTTCTAAGGATATGAATTATGATTTCGGACTCTTCTGAAAGGACTTAACAGATAATCGATCAGAAAATTCCAAACATTTGTCACTCAATTCTTTTGAGCTATTCATACAAAAACAGATGGCACTTCTTTCGCAAGTGAACACTACGTCTAGTATATCTGCCAAAACGATTCCCAAGCAGAAGAAAACGTAATGATGAAAACCAATGATGACACCATGTGTTCGCGAAAAGAGTACGGATGTCATATGGAAAATGAAAATATTCATGAAAAAAAGTATTTGTCGATGAGCAGGGAGGTGTGTCAACTCCATGTAAATATCATGGTATGGGATCGCATCGGACATCACGTTGACAAGCGACATGTTTTATTTTGTAAATTCCTCTGATTTATTTAGAATGTTAGTTATCCAAACACAGATCCAGTTCATATGCATCCCACACTGGGTTTCCCGCAGTCAGTCCACTGCTGTTTCCGTTAGACGAGACCTCGCATACTCGTGAGTCACTTCTATAATTGAAAGCAGGACAGGAACCAAGTTGCAAGCAGGATCTTGCACAGTCCAAGGCGGACCTGGTCTCCATCTCAACAGGCCCTGTTAGGTCGAACTTCTTTTCCGGTATCTGCATAAATATGGCGTCTGAAAATACAATTTTATACAAGTCTATCATCATCAAGCACAGTGACTGTATTTGATATGACAATATATGCAAGAGAATGTAAGTTAATATTATGGAGATTAGCAGCACGCAAATATGCGTTACATGTCATTGTTTCTAAGGTGGCTAATTGTGTTTCATAACATTACTGTGCCACCTTACAATGCTTCAAGGAATTTGGGTAACGCCTTGTGTTACCTGTACATAAACTGTCGGTTAATAAAATTTTAACACTGACCCTATTGCACAATCAATATGAGATAATAGGGCTTATTGTGATTTATCAATTTGTCGTTTAAATAGACACCCCTTTCCTTAAATGTCTTTCTGACAGGTATTTGTCCATCGGTCAGCACACAATTTTAAGACATACTTTGTGAACGCTTATTGATCAAACCTTTCAATTTGCTCGAAGGAAACATATTTATTTAATTATATGATTATACCGCCAATCAATATAATGTGGGGGATAGCCAAAGTGACGCAAGTGGTAACCACAATAAGGTTTGGTCGAACCAGTGATTTTCGGTATACGTATTGACCTACAGGGTATTAACGGGATAAACTTCAGTCTCGAACCCGCGAACAGCAAAATATCCTGGCATGGTTGGGCTACGTAACTCTACCCGTGTCTGCATAATGACTTCAAACACAATATGCAAAATTCACATGTGCATATTTCAGAATAATAAAGATGAGACGTGGCCGTGTCGAATGTCACTGAGGTAGAAAATTCAAAATGCTTATAAACAATGCAAATTAACAACACCATGATCACCTTTAAATTCCGTTTGGGCTTCATATTCATACACCTCGACCTCACATAAGAACAATGGATCGTTCTGAATGAAGCGAACAAATCGCCCTCTCACAGGCTTCGAACAGTAGATGGTTTCCGCCACTCCGTTAGAGAATATTCCAGTATACTCAAAGCAAAGTTTTGGGCTTTGTGGACACTGTGCATCGGGGTATACGACCAGTTGAAAGTCCTTTGGTAATCCATCTGTGAGAAGTTCGATTATATGAATATAAATACAAATCCATTAAATCTGTACGATAACAACAACAATTAGAGTGTAGCTATGAGGACAAAGTAGACACAATTTATGGATTACAACTTCTTTAATACTGTAAAGACGACGTTTTGGTATAGATCCTTATACCGTTGTCAAGCAACACTGAGGAATTACGGATCATCTGCCACGAACCATAGAGAGCAAATTCCGATTTTATATAATTACCCATTGACATTTTAAGAATGAAAATGAGGAAAAGATGTATAATGTGCATGTCAACCATACAGAAGAACTTAACTGAACGCAACCTAGTGTATATGTAATGTAATCAATTTCTGACGTATTGTGACGTATTTTTGAACAATGGATGTCTTCATTTCGTATTTTTCTCAACAATGAATCACTGTGCCCGACAAATGACAAATCAACATTGATAATCTCTAAAATACGAATGTCCAAATATGTGAAAGATAATAAACACGATCTTCTGGGTACCCTTTTGGTTAATACATAACGACCCGGAAACAACACCAGTACAGGTTACCGACATGGCTTTTCAAATCGATTGTTCATATTTGGATAAGGTTGCCAATGATAATGCTAAAGACTCTGCCCATTGTGCTCCTTTAATTTTCTGAGACGAAGTTCATTTCCTATTCAATACGACTTTGTCCACGCACGTTACTTGCTCAATGTTATGATGCACGTTTTGTGGCACTGCTCAATGCATGGTACACAATCTCAACAATACCTTGCCTAATACATCATTCACGACGTATTTGTTAGGAAAAAGGGAAAAAAAATATGATATGTAAATTGTGCATGACCTTCACTATTATTTATAGACTCGAGGCTTTGCATAATCATTTCGTCTTAGACGTTAACACTTCCATTCACCCAAAACATGTATAATCCTGATGTAAATATTAGATGAAGTAAAATGGGGTTATTTCGTGGGGTTCAAGGTTGTTTCACTAATGTAGCATGTATGTGACTGTTTGTACTAATCTGCGTCATAGTAATTGTTTTATCCCATTAATGCCGAGGCGCCACACGGCGGTATTGGGTCTGTCAATTTGCATAAAAATTAACAGTTTATCAAATGTTCTGAACGATTCAATTGATGGATCGTTGTTGGTGGATGATTTTAATGTTTCTTGTCGTGATAAAAACATGCATACGATTGAGAGGCAACTGCAGTTGTGTTGCAATAAAATCCACAAATGGTCTCTTGAAAATGGCTTTAAATGTTCCAAATCTAAAACAAAATGGTTTGTAGAAAGTACAAACCTCACATAGGCCAAGTATTATATTAAGATGACACTCCTATTAAAGTTGTGAAAGAAGCCAAATTTTGCAGGTATAATTTTCGAGCATCCTTTGAGCTTTTTACTCCACATTAAATGCTTACAGAATAAATGTTGGAAGGCCCTTGATTTATTAAAAGTTGTTTCTTATCCAAAGTAGGGTAGGGGATCAGATAACCCTCCTCCAACTATACAGAGCTCTTATCCATTCTAAACTTGAATACGCTCCTTCATCTGTGGTCGGACTGATTAGCCATCCCTTAAACAACCTCGTCTTAACTTATCTTTGTAGTTTATCTCTAAATTATGTTCTACCAAATCAAATCCAGCATGTGCCTGTGTTTTTCATCCTCTGTACGGAAATCTCTACGATAAAAAATCATCTGGAATAAGAATAGAATCTGATATTTCTGCTTAAATCAATCTTGAAACATAAACCCTACTCGGCTTTTCTATCTCAACCACTGCCAGCGGAGGATCTAACATTAACTAAACTAAAGTAATCTGAAACAAATCAACTAATTTATGAACAGGACTATAATCAATTAAGATAATAATACAATACATACATATCTATATTTACAGATGGATCCAAGGACGGTGACGCATTTGCAAGTGCCACTGTCATTGGGTACAGATACCTGTTCCATTTTTACAGCGGAATGAAAGACCATATTAACAACGCTAGAATACATTAATAAACAATCAAACAATGCATTTTAGACTTTCTTTTCAGACAATCATTAATCATCCTTGCAAACATCCACTTTTAATCGAAATTATTGATTTATATAATGATCTTGCAACTGGCAAGAATAATTTTGTGTTGGCTACCCAGCCATTTTGGCACCATGCTGGAGCTGAAGGAGCACTGTGACAATACTTCTGATTCCATACACTGATTACAAGCCTGTGATTGGATCCTACATCCGAGATCTGATACAACAGAAGTGGGACACTTATGTTGGTGTAAATAAATTGCATGAAATTAAACCAACAATCGGTTACACCTACTTGGGTTGTCAGTCAAGATTGGAAGGTGTGATTATGGGACGATTGGCCTTTCAAGATATACACATGAATATTTATTAAAAGGTGAAGATATTCCGTTCTGCACCCCTTGTTACGAAAGAATCACAGTCAAGCATGTCCTTCTTGACTGTATAGATTTTTCCCTCAAAAGGGATCAATATTTCATCCACAAAGAATCTTTTTAACATAAGTTCACATTTAATTCTTGGAGTTTTAAAATAAATGTAATTGATTCATAAACTTTTATGTACATAGTTCTTATAAATTTGTAATATATAATTATTGACTGAGATTATTAGTGGCTGTGCCCTCGATGAGGGTTGAAGTAGCATAAAATTATTGTCCCTCAAACAGGGTATCATAAGTCCATGTCATTCAAAGCATTTCTGTATTTACCATTTTCTTAAACGTAGAATGTGTCATTTTAATTTTGGCTCAAATTGCATACAGTCGTCAGTTAATCCCACTCGGAAACCACGCAGTTGGCACAAGTCCCACAGTCCCTAGTGTGGTGCCCTAACTTTGGCTGCTGGCGATGTACAGCCCGTTTTCATAATGTATGTATGACAAGTATTTTATTTTTATGGCTCCCTGCTAGTATTAAATATCAATCTGTGATAAGTCAAGTTATTTTACTGTCTGTTGTTGACAGGCTTATTAAATGTGCATGTATTAATTATGTACAACCTTTGGAAGTCACAATATGGCTGAGATACTGCCGATGTAACTTTAAATTATAACTCACTCATGAATGCTGAGCGTCAGGCAGGGTAACAACAAGTACTATCTTTGGCATGACTCGGCCAGGAGATCGGACCACCGACCTCCCCCGCTAAGGCAGACACTCTATCCACTACACCACGGATGCAGTCATCAAAGTAGGAACACGTGTGTACATGTACATATTTGGAACAAGAAAAAGGTAATAATTACAGCGAACATGAAATGTATAGCCAATGGAAGATAGGCATTTTGAACTAATGAGCCTTATAACTTGATATGAACAAATAACTGTCTTGCAGCAGTAGTACATACAATCATATTGAGCAGGGGTGATCCGGACACTGCCCACCCTGACGGTCACCTGGATATCCACCTGCCACCATCCTGGAACAGGCTGACCTACTGTCTCCACGAAGGTGCAGTACAGGTTGTTGGCTACATCTTGAGCTGTGTTATTGAACCCATCCACGGCTTTATCCGGTCCTGTGAGACTCGATGAGGCACTTTGCGTTGCCGGATGGAGGAGTGCAAGATTTGTTGACCCTATAAACAAGTAACATTTGGTAGTTTCGTATCTTCCATCAATGAGAGGGATGTAACAAATGTTATATTTGGGATAACTCTTTCTTAGTAAAGTACAGATTCTAGTACTTTTGGGGGGTTGAGTCCCGTCCGGGATTCGAACCCACACTTGCCAGAGTGAAGCACCTAATCGCCAGCACACAAAGTCAGCGATCTAACCCACTCAGCCAACGAGGCTTCCACAAAAATGAAAGTCCGACAACTGGTAGTCTAGATAACGTACTTTGAGCACCCCTCTGGCAAGTGTTAATTGGCACGGCTCCCATGGCCGAAAGCTATGAATACACAATGCCATTTAGAAAGTGGTCAAATGTAACAAATGTTATATTTGGGATAACACTTTCTTAGTAAATGACACTGTGTATTCATAGCTATCAAAGTGAGAAAAGTTTCCAACAATAGCAAATATACACATGGGGGGGAGTGATATTTACTTTGGCTTACGTGGATAAAATGATCTGCCCCGATGAACATTATCCTGTGTCCTGAATCATGAAGTGGTCAATTATGATTATAGTCTGTTTCTGGTTGTCTGTTGTTTAACGCCACACTCAGCGACATTCCAGCTTTATGACGGCGGACTGTAAATAATCGAGTCTGAACCAGGCAATCCAGTAATTGATATTGTGAACAACGGTCCACGCCGTCGGGGTACGAGGACACGCTATAAACCAAGTCACAGAGCCTGACCACCCGATCAATTGTGGTCGCATCTTACGACCTAAATTGCTTTCTGGGAATCTGTTCTACCCCAGACTTCCCACGAGAGTTGGGCGCATTAGCCAAACAACTAATAAATATATATTTAAATGTTCATACCTGAGGAGGGTTCAATCCATATAAGAAATAAAAACACAAAATCTGCAAATATGTCCTGAATTGCTCGAGTTGTGTCCATTCTGGCACCACAGAGCAACGAAACGCTGGAGTGATGAGAAGGTTCGCTGTCCATGCAGATATAACGAAAGGAATTGATTATTAAGTTTTCAAATAGCTGGTGCACAGGACCAGGCGTGGGAATGTTAAGGTTGGCCAATGTCTAATGGTATAAACATGTTTCGTTTGTAACCATCACGACATGTTCAATAAATTCACGGATGGTATAGATTATTCCTGGCATAGATTTTAAGCTCCCGCAATAATTATATGTGCTTCAGTGCCTTTCCATAACAAATTAATGATTTATCTGTACTGTAATGACAGTCGAAGGGATGCAATTGACTTGATCTAGGTGACTGCCAAATTTACTAAAAACTAGTTGTGGTGTTGATTCCGACTGCAAGTAAGAGCTCCACAGATTTCAATAAAATCGCCACATAACCCACGTAAAACCCACGAACTACGTATACTAGGAATTACGTATCATTTGTCCCGAGTGAATTAAGTGAAAGTTTAACATTATTAACGAGGGATGGATAGCCCGTAGCTGCTCTAGGTTATTCTTTCCTCCACCTTGCATTGTCTTAAAAAAATCACATTTTTTAGCTACAATTGAGTGAGCATTCTCTTTCTAAGAAGATTAATTTCAAAGAGCACCACACGACACCTTCTCAAACTTTGTAAGATCAGTATAATAACATTCAAGGCCTTAGTAAATGTTTCAAAAAGATCATTGGCAGACATGTGGAGGACATTTCCAAATTAGATTGATGTCTGATGCATATCCATATTTTGACTTGTTTCCGTGTTTGTTCATGTGAACATTTCATATGGCTGGAATATTGGTGAGTGTTGCCTAAAACAACAAACAAACAAACACAATTTCTTTAGGTACAGTTGAGTGAGCATTCTCTTTCTTAGGATTTCAAAGAGAATGAAGCGACCCTTTCTCACACGTTGTTTGCTCAGAGTTATAACATTCAAGCTCTTGGTTAAGGTTTCCAAAATCTTATGGCAAATTAAAATTGTGTCTGATGCAATTCCCTATTTTGTCTTGTTTCCGTGCTTTTCATGTTAACATTTGATTTGACTTTGAATTTATATCTGACGGATGCCAGTGGTGGGACAAGATACAACTGCCATCATCACAATTTGATAGTGATTCATTAACACATTCTTATGATTCCTTTTCCGTTTTGTTTGAGTTTGAGTATACATAGTTACATTTAGCAACTAGCGGCGCCTGATGTTGTTTGTACAAAGGTGGGATACTTGATAGTCATTTCTCGACAAATAACTGCAGTATGGATGGTCGCACTAATATCATTACCCGGCTAATATTTCATATTAGAATAGACATGAACATGTCGCAGCAAAGAACTGAAAAAACGGTCTTGGGATCTCTCTTTATGTGTTACTCGAATTTTATTAACAATGAAGCAGTTATATAAGTATTTACACTCCATAATTGTTATTTAAATACTTTATTGTAATCATAATACACCAGTTCCGTGTTTCTAGTTGCGGGCAGGAATATTCACCTTTAATGAGTCAACTCTCAAATGTACTACAAGTCCCTTGTGAGCGAGTGAGTGAGTTTGGTTTTACGCCACTTTTAGCAATATTCCAGCAGTATCACGGCGGGGGATACCAGAAATGGGCTTCACACATTGTACCCATGTCGGGAATCGAACTCGGGTCTTCGGCGTGACGAACGAACGCTTTAACCACTAGGCTACCCGACCGCCCACAAGTTCCTTGTAAAAGGTTTGGAAAATTTATACTAATTATCAGTCATGAATATTTTATCCACAATACTATCTCACGATATACTCTCTATTCTTCATACACTTGAGATATGAGAATGACCTGAAAATGATTTGATCAATAATAACTAACAACATAATGACCCTTGTATCTGGCTGCTTAATGATATTTCCACAAGCCGCGTACAGATGTGTACATTCTTTATAATACAAGTATTAGTTTCTCAACGGCCTCTAACACTTTACTTCAATTTGAGTTCAACCATTAATTAAACACAAAGCTTCTCTCGTAGTTAAAAGCGTCAACCCTAAGGCCACGCGTACGCAAATGGGTACAATGTGTGATACCCATTTCTTGTGTCCCCCGTCATGATATTGCTGGACTGTTGAATCAAACTGCTGCAAACTTTCATCAGGCTACTGAAATAGGAGTTACGGGTCAGACGATTAGAAATCGTCTACATGCAGCTCATATCCATACCAGACGGTCACGACCTTAACAAGTCGTCACTTTGCCAACAGTGTACAATGGTGTACACAACGTCGAAACTTGGGTAATCGTCGGTGGTCACGTGTCATGTGTTCAGGTTCGTTTTGCAGTTGTTTGGTAGGCGTGGTCGTATCTGGTGACATCGAAATGAAGGTCAAGCCAATGTAAACCTGATACTTCATGACATATTTGTCGGTCTGTCGGTTATGGTGTGGTAGAGTGAGGGAGTGAGTTTAGATTTAACGTCACATCGGCAATATTTCAGCCATATAGCGACGAGATCAATTTATACATGAATAATAAAAACATTTTGACAATATAAAAACCTGTCGACAAAGGACAGTAAAATAAACTAGATTATCACAGATATTAACATAGAACTAGCATGGAACTGTAAAAAGATGTAACAATATACAAGATATGATGAAACTGGGCTATTGATCGTCAACCACTGAAGATAGATCACCATACTGGGGACCATGGGGACTTACTGGTTATGGTGTTGTGTAACATCACTCTTACTGAGCGAACGCCACTTCGTATGTTGTACAATGAGCCCAGACCTTTTCCCCATTGAACACGTATCTGACTTGATAGGGACGAGACCGAGCGTGATTGTAGGACGCCTCATGTAGATACGACAGATGATGTCGATGATTGTACATTTAAAAATCGAACATTTGTTTTCTGGAATGTATCAGGACTTAATTCTAAATTAACTGATCAGGATTTTACCGATTATTTAAACTCATTTGACTTCATCGGCATAACAGAAACATGGATGAAAGATATAGACATAAGTTTGATATTCCCAGGATTCAAGCTATGGATCAAAGAAGCTGAAAAGATTTCCAACTTTGGTAGACTTTCTGGTGGTATTGCCATATTAGTTAGACAGCAGCTTGTTAAATATGTAAAATGGTCTAAAGTTTACGACAGTGGCATTTTTATACTGTTAGATAAAACCGTATTTGGATCTAAAAAAGATTTGCTATATTCATGTGTCTATGTTCACCCTGAATGTTCGACTTGGTACACCAACCCTTTGAGGCAATGCAAAAATGGTATACAAATATTACAAAATGACTTACTTGATACACTAGCACATTGTGATGATGTTTATTTGATGATTGGGGGAGACTTGAATGCCAGAACTAGCACGGAATCTGATTTTGTAGAAGATGATATTCTTGAATATCTCGAGGATCATGATAACAGTGTATGGGGATTTCTGTTAGACAATTTCAGCTTAAAAAGATTTTCTGTGGATTTATCTTTGAATAATTTTGGAAAGAGCTTACTAGATTTATGCAGTATACTAAATATACATATTATGAATGGAAGGTGCGGGTCAGACGCCGGGGTGGGAGATTTTACTTTTATAGGAAATCAGGGTGCGAGTGTGGTGGATTATGTTATTGCCTCGTCCGAGTTGTTTGATATGTGCCATAGCTTTGACATTCCGTCTCGAGCCGAGTCATCACACCTTCCTGTCACGACTAGTTTACGTACGCTTCTAGTAAATGACCCTATGCCACGCAATACACGTAACAATGCTTCCTTCAAATTTGTATGGGTTGAAGAGAAGGCTGAACAGTTTAGAATAAACCTTATTTCTGGGACTGCGAATGATTTACTGGAGAAGGCTGTAGATGTAGCATTTGTTAATGTTGAAGAAAGTATTAGGTATATCACTGAAGCTGTTATTATTGCTGCATCAGATATGAAGAAAATGAATAAGGACTGTAAATATGATCAACATTGGTTTGATAGCGAATGCCAGCTACTTAAAAAGGAGCGATGTAGACGTTTGAATAATTTTAGAAAGAATAAGGATAAAGGGTCACTAACCGACTATAATAGAGTAAGAAATCAGTACAACGATGTTTGTAGGAAAAAAAAGACAGAATATTTCGAACAAAAACAGAAACTGTTGGAATCAAGCATAGATAATTCTAAAACATTTTGGTCATCGCTAAAAGCCATTAAACCAAATAGATATTGCAAAAATGATATTGATATTCAAGCCTGGTTTGAGCATTTCCAGGAACTGTTTTCAGTTCCATTTAGCCATGACAATAACAATTTATTTGACATGGAATTCATGGAAGATAAAGTTGACAGCGTAACAGATGATATTCTTGAATGTCCAATATCTAGAGAGGAAATTTTTGACAGCATATCCAACCTTAAAGATAATAAGGCATCTGGAAATGATAATGTGATAGCAGAGTTTTTTAAACATTCCTCAGACATTTTAATACCATATTTGGAACTAATTTTTAATATCCTTTTAGAGAGATCATATTTTCCAGATAATTGGACAGTTGGCATTATTGTCCCTCTTCACAAACAGGGCGCAACCAGCGATGTTAATAATTACAGAGGCATAACTCTCCTAAGTACATTCAGTAAAATATATACTTCAATTATTAACAAGAGACTTGTTTTCTGGGCGGATTCTTTGGATAAGATAAGTGAGTCACAAGCAGGTTTTAGAAAAGGATACTCCACCACTGACAATGCTTTTATCCTATATTCTATAATTCAGAGATATCTATCAGTGAAACGAGGGAAGCTATATGCTGTATTCGTAGATTTTGCAAAAGCTTTTGACTCTGTGAAAAGGGATAACTTGTGGTCACACTTTCAAAGACATGGGCTAAGTAGCAAAATTGGAAAGTTATTATGCTCTCTATATAAAAATGTGAAGGTATGTGTACGGAACAATGGCGCTATATCGGATACTTTTGTAAGTAGCAGGGATGTCCGACAAGGGTGTATATTAAGTCCCTTCTTATTTTCCTTTTTCATAAATGATTTGGCATATC